CGTGAACCTCACTGACTCGAGAGTCATCCGAAAAGAGTACCGGCTGATGAGTGATGAGGAACGACGCCGCTTCCATGATGCCCTGCAGAAATTGAGACACAGCAAAATAGACGGTGTCAGCAAAGAGGAAGTGCTGCTCATCGCCTTTCAGCAGGCGACCGGCCGTGGTTCCGACTACGGAACAGCGTTCCTTCCGCTACACAGGCATTTTTTAAACATGTAACTGATTTGCACCTCTTGAAGCAAGATGAGTGAAAATTTCTAAGGAGGCAAATTTCAGAATCGAACGGGCGTTAAGAACCGAAGATCCACAAGTCGCCCTGCCGTACTGTGACTTCAGTCTCGATGGTGCCCTGAATCAAGCTGCCGACTCGGTCCTGTGGGCTAAAAACCTGTACGGCCTCTACAGCGACAGTAACTACCGAATACTGAATTTGTCGAGGATTATCCGCGAGCTTAAATATCCGTTCAAGACGAATTGGATGTTCAAGCCGTTCCAACGGTGCGTCGATCCTTTTTACGAAACGGTAAACGTTACTGATGAATTAATCACATGTGATACAGCCGTGAAACAACGCCGAGGTTGGCTTGTTTGCCTCATGACCTTCCGGTGAGAAGCCTTACGGCTTGAACCAGCAGTGAGGACAGTAGATGGTGCAGCCAAAGCACAAATTTTGCATTTTTACTATTCAGTTATACTTTCTGTTAAAAAGGGGAAGCGGCAGTTTGACGAGGATCTTTTAACTAAGAAAGTCTCGTGAAAGATATTTCAAAGCGCCACCATGATGAGGCTGAAGCCGGCTGTACAGCAAGGGAACTAATATCCTGCAAGTCGTAGGATAGAGAAAAAAACCATTAACAGGAGATATCAGATCCGTGTAAAAATCCAGGGAACGCATAACTTGGATTAAAGGTACCTGATGATGAATGGAAAGCCATGCATTTGATTATAGAAGTTAACGAACTAAACTAATCAATAACGCTAAGCTTAATGTGTCTTTAGATATGCGAAACAGTTATGCACGGAGAATAACAGTTCAATGGCTTCAGCAAAAGTGTCGCACTGTAATGTACAGTGATGTCAGACAGCATGTAATCCTCTGTTTCCCTTGAAGTAATATTACTCATTTATTTACCTCAGAAAGACGAAGGACGGGTCACCCGACCTGTATTCTAACATACAGATTTTTGCTTTTCTTGCATCTCCACCCATTGATCCAAAAAGACTCTGTTAAGAGTTGAGAAAGGTAGTCCCATCACTTAACAGTCGAAAGTTTGTGTATTCGAATCGACGTCGGCTAACTCACCCTTCGTTATTCTGATGAAATGAATATTAGATGAAAAAAAAACAAAAGTCTAATAATGCCATACATTGCTTTAACGAAGCATTATTCATTTTTTACCTCAGGAAGACGAAGGTCCAGTCACCTGACGTCGATTTGAAAATACAGACTTTCGACTCTTGACCGGTAGAACTACCTTTCTCACCGAAAGCTTCATCCATTTCCATGAACATAGACAGAAGAAAATCGAAAGTCTATATCAAAGAGACAATATATGACGAACATAATACAATAATCATCATCGGTATTATGGAGTGAATGCAGAAGAGCAACGCGATACAAAATGATAACATTTAACATTCCAGTTCTTCATACAACAGCCGCCCATTCTTTTGTTCCTTCACTCCATCCATTGGCTTTCATGGCCCGCAGCTACAGACTGTTTCTCGCATGGTTGGCACGACCTTCCAAAAATCGAGTGAGCAAACTTTCAAATGCAAATAATTTGCTAACTTTGTCGGTTCCAAATGCAACCTCCTCTGATCGATTCCGTGGATGGTTTGTATTGCATTTGTTTCTGACATATACCGATACAGAGTCAACTGATTAAACTCCATAAGCGGAATAGCTACCTCGTAAGCACAAGGAGGAACTGTATCATACATATCAAACCGACCCCCTCTACGAAAATGTTAGAACTCCATTTCTTGTTATCCGGTGCATGATGCTATGTGAGCCGCGTTGATTGATTTGATTTTGGCACGGTGTGGAAGGGGAAGAGTGAAACTATTCTGATTTCTTTCAGTCATTATGGCATGAATGATATGACCACAGCAAAAGGACGTTTAAATGTAACAGCAAGGGTTGCCTTAGGCGGCAGTGAGATATTCAAGCCCTCTCGCCGCATCAAAACGGCATGTCAGAAGAGGTCATAAGAAAATAGCTTTGATAATAACAAAATTATGTTCGATTATAAGTAAGGCATTTGTGCCGTGGAACATGGAGAATTTTTTTCTATTTTCCTTTCACAACGAGTCGTTTTTCACTGTCTACACTCAGAGTACGTTTCTCCTACATAGATTTGCTCTAAGTGTCAGATTATAATGACGATTGCTATCAAAAGTATCTATTTTGGCTTCACTAAAGGCAGTAACGGTTACCAGAGTTACAACAATGGCAAGGGCATATATGGAATACATTCGTACATAAAAAGTTTTCAAACGGTAATGACGAAAAAAAGAGATGAGGCCACCCCTGTTGTAATCATTGTCATCGTTGGCTGTTCAATTTGCAACAGCTAAATATCCCAGACTGTTCATAGCTGACCCATCTTAAATGTTGCTAAGCATTTACGAATTAATTAGCACCTCAGCAAAGGTCATACCCTGCTCATCAGGAAGAGGTCCAAGTCCATGAGCTGCGTCAAAATTTTGGATTATTTATTAATAGCTCTATGACTAGTGGACGGTTCCAATAAAAAACGCTGCCATCTGAATTTGAATTGTAACTGTTTGAAGTGGATTTTGACTCCCTATTGCCATTAATTATGATTTCTGTCATTTGTAACCATCATCTAATGCTAAAGGAAAAATAAAATCATATGCAAGAGAGTTTCCAAAATTTGTCTTCCATGATTCAATGCAAATTGTGAATCGATACATCTTGTGTCTGTTCCAAGTACTTGCATGACACCAGCCAAAAACCAAGAGCAAGAATCACGATAGTCTTCAAAACGTTCACCACGCATTAGCCTGACATCGCGTCTTGACAGGGTTCAGCGTTCAAATATCTGAGAGAGCGTAGGTATACAGCCTCTACTTTTCCAAAGTTATAAGTCAAAAATGCAATTGTATGGGGACAGGTTGTGAATGCATTCAGAAATGAAGGAGAAACAGTATCTGCACGCTCAACCGAGCGGCCGAAGACCCAAAGCATAGTTAAAGATGACCTGTGGCAAGCGGATGATCACGATCGAATAACTCTGCTTCAGATTAGGGTCATCTTTTGCTGAAGCTAAAACGACAGCACAGAATTGGGAACGTCGGAAGCTGTGACTTGGAAGGATAAGCGGCGATCGAAACGGGCGCTGGCTGGCTGATATTTCAGATTGCATATGATCATCAGGGAACATAACTCATCAATAATTAACAAAATCAATTTACAACATTAAAAACAAGATAATGTATAGTTTAATCGGTTACATTTTAAAATCGCGGTACCTTTTCTTGTCTGTATGCAGCGCTAGTAGCTTGAAAAAAGCTTGTCCTAAGGCTCAAACCTAAACATTACAACTCTTTCAAAAAACTATCCAAAAAATGCACACCAACTCAGTCACGGTCCGGTCTGTAGCGTGGGAGTGATGAGAGTCAATGTCAGTGTCAAAGCGAAAGTACATAGATGTCTGAATCACAAACAAAAATCTGAATGAGGCACTTCAACGATGCTTTCAAGAATGATCAGAGTTTGGATAAAATTTCCGGTTTTGGATTCCGGCTATTCGATCGAACACGCGTCTTCATGGATGAACGATGAACATGTTTCTTACAACCGCCCTCTGAATGACGTACTGCGAAAACGAGCGGTCAAACCATTTGTAAAGCACTTTTTTACGCACATACCACAATAGCCTATATTCTGTTCTACTTTCTAGGCTGGTAGGCAAGAAATGGCGATCTGTATTTATCTGTATTTACGACATTGAATCTGAAAGCGGATCAATCGCCGTCACATCCGTATCTCGAAATGTCGTACTGACGGCACGATCCGCCGATTAAGCCGAAAATAATGCTAACGAAAAAAACAACGCCTATGAAGGCGAAATATTCCAAAATCCTAATAAGCATCACGAATGGCTGAAAATGAATAGATTAGAAATATTATATGCCATAAGTTAAATTCTATTTTTTTTCCTTTAATTTATTAAATGTTCAGTCATTATATAGGCATATTCTGGTGTTTCCGCCTTTGCAGGGTCACAGGCGCGATAATCTTCTGTTCTTATTCCTTAATGCTTTTAGGCAGTAGTGTGTCGTCAAGACTACGAAGACTTTTGCGAACGCTTGTTGTTGTTGTCATCGTCATCTGAGGTATCAAGGTCATAGACTGACTACCAATATTAATTATATCTGACCTTTGGCTTCTCAGCATGATTTAGGCGATGTTAGTCATTGAGGCAAAAATCATTTTCCTCGTCGCAAGTCCGCTTTTAGCAGGTGCTTTGGGTTGAATGGTTTTGGATAGATCTCATTTGTCTCCCCGGATGGTTCTGGTCAAATCACGACACACAGCTGTCCCCGTTTTCTTCAAATTACATTCTCAGGTTGAGCCGGTTGTCTCCAAGATCTTTTCATTCTCCATTCGGTAGAACCATCGCACTTTCAGAATGTTCCGCAGGCAGCCCTGCTAAAAT